AGAATTTGTGCAGATCAAGTTAAAATGTCTTCATATATAATTTTTATTTTTTTGTTCTTTTACTTGAAATATTCAAGATATTTTTTAAAAAAATTTGTATTACTCATACAATTGTAAAAAAAAAAACGAATTGTTATACATAGAAAAACTATTTATATCATATAAGATAATCATCATAATTTGATCATTTTAGTAAATTTATTATATTAGGAATATCATAGTACTTTAAACAGGTAATTAAATTATTTTTTGGAAGAAATTTTAGTCTAATTCGATGATCTAGTAGGCTTGGTAAATTTGATCTTCAGCAACTCTATTGAACAAAGTTGATGCAACATGTTGTCGACTGACAGAAACTCTCCAAAAAATGTGTCCGGAGTCGTGAACTTGAAATTCGAAATATTTCATCTATATACGTATATTTTTGTGTCCATTCTCAAGGATTTCGCATTGTCAACAAATGCGCTTGCCACAGAGAAATGCCACGCAGGAGTAGGTGGATGAACGGAGTAAGGAATTCCCTGGTGGCCGTCAAGGAAATCCAAATACGTTCTGGTAGATACGTAGGTAGGATAGTATGCGCATATGTAGATGTCCATGTGGATGCGGATACGGATGCTGGAAGCTGAATGTTGTTTATGATGCTGTGCTTTGGGTTAGATTCCACCCTTTCGGGCATTGCCACTGGCATTAGCGTTGGCTAAAGGGATGCACTTACCGTTCCTTTAACTGCCAACGAATAACAAATAACTAAATGTCAGAAAGTGCACATATTGTATAAAATGGTTCATTAAAAATGTCAATTAAATTTTGCTACCCAAAAAATATATATACAATTTTGTAGAAAATTTTGAAAAGGATTTAATGAAAGCAATTCATTTAAAGTTTGAAGTGGATGCATTAGCTATTTAACAGAGAGACTAGAGCTAAGTAAAAACAAATTTATATTTTTATATATTTTTATTTCATAAATACAATCTAACAAATTAATATTATTTACATTTACTTTAATAATATTTATTATTTACAATATTATTTATAAATTGTTGCTTATATCTAATAGCAGGCGAATAAATGTATTATTGTTCATAATGATGAAGATCATATCAAAATATATAAATATACATATATTACTTGTGAAATATTTCAAATTTACAGATAATTACAATCAGATATAGTTATCTTAAATACTTTTAAAATTACCAGGTTTTCTTGCTATACATTTTAGTTTATTTTCACATCCAAGTAAAATTCCCATGTCAAAATCCAGTTAATACATTAATTAAAAGGAAATCCTTTGATAATCGTTCAATCTGAAAAAAAATATTCTTGTTTGCGCAATCGAAGCAGCTTAAAGCACTTGGCCAAATCATTTGCATTTGCCTCTCCGAATGATGCCCACACGCCGCTTGGCGCTCATCAATTATTCGTGCATCAGTCGGACTCTATCACGGTGCCTGGATGGCTCGCAGTTGGCAGTTGGCCGTTAGCTCGTCTGGCCGAGCATTGTTTAACAATTAAGCGAACAAGTTGTTTAACTTTACCTAAACGATTTAAGTCAACAGTGAACGAAATGCAGTTCCATTCCCCGCGGCAAACGGCTCACTTGGCTCATCCAGATCCGCATCCACATCCTTGTGCTTGCGATGAACAGAAATCACAATTTGCCTGTGCTTCCGCTTCCGATGATGCCAACGACAGCAGGCTCTCCTTTTTTATGGTCTTCTTTTTATCCATTTTCATTTTTTGTTTTTGTTTTTATTGCTCTTCATCCTCAGCTGGCTTCGCATTCGCATCTGCATCTGCAGTCGCTCCGCTGAAATGGCAAAAATTTGTCAACAGTTTTTTGATTTGCTTGCCGTTTTTTTTTTTTTATTGCGACTTCTGTCTTGGACAGGTTGTTTGTTTTGCAGCTCGTAGATTGCAGTGTATTCATTCAACAGGAGGCACGAGGAAGCAGGCAGGACGTCTGTCTAAAGAGTGAGAGAAATCATTCGATTTCGGGCAGCTTTGCCGCCCACCCAGATTCATCGGCATCCACATTGGCGATCCAATAATTAAATTCGCTGGCATATCGGCGTCTGCTCAATGGAATTAACTGTTGTCAATTATCCATGTGAGGACCCGCCGCTGCTTTCATGCCTCTAAATAGCAAAAACCTGGCCTTCTTGCTCTCGGACGCCAATAAAATGTCACTTGGCCAGCGTAGGAATCGCCAGCGTCATCGGCAGCGGCAGCGGCATTGGCAGCGGCGTCGGCATCGACAGCGGCGCTCGTGTCCGGCGGCAGTCGGCGTTGGGTTTTGTACACTGAATTTGGCATCGCCTGCAAATGGAGTTGGAGTTGGAGTTGGAGCTGGAGCTGGCGATCGTTCGATTGGAGTCTTCTGGCCAGGTGGCGTCTTCGGCGGTGGCCAGCGAGACCACACAAGTTGCTTAATTTGTTGCGCTCCATGCCCCAGCCACAAGTTGTCTTCGCTTGACTCCCCATCAATCAGAGAGTGGCCCGCTTTTTGTGCCACCGCCGCCAATCTCGTTTCATAAAAATTCAGAACACGAGCGCAGCTATGCGCTTTTTGCGTATGCCCCGTATTGTTACGACTCGAGCATTTCGATGCTCACGACGCAGCTTTTCTCTCCCCAGCCACTATGGTCATGACAGTTCCATCAAATTGCGTTTCATTTCTTGTCTAGCGACGAGCGATGACGAGTCGAGGCTAGAGGCCAAAACTTTGCTGACAATTGCAACACAACAAAAAAAAATAAAATAAAACAAAATAAAACAATGTTTACTGAGAATTTGCATGTGATATACTCTGGTACTCTGGCTAAATTAAGTCAACTCCAAAAGTATTCAATCAACTAATTAAATATTTAAATATTTATGTAGATTTATATTGTTATATTTTAAGTTGTAGATTTAAATGTTAAGTTAAGATAAAATTTATATACGATTTTTTAAGAGTTTTTCCCCCGTAATTGAATAAAAATAAAGTGTCCCACATAACTAAAGAAAATTAAAAATATTGTTATATTTATTATTATATATTTATATATATTATTATATATTGATATATATTATTAGCTTATTATAACTCAAGGCATAAATTGTGATTTATATACATAATTGACGTAATTACCCTTTTATGTAATGTTATTTATTCTGAGCATATATCAATCATCAGGCAGCAGGTAATATGTTACTTTATATAAACTTCTTGAGCTCAATTAAAATTATTTTTAAATTTTATTAAAACATATTTTACACATAAAAATATAAAAATATGCTAAGCAACTAATTTTTAATATATCCTTTTTTTGCTGCTCTGAAGAGGACGAAATTTAAAAAAAATAATAATAATTATAATTAAAATTTAATATTAAATATTAAATTTATTATGTTGTAATCTCTATAAACTCTAACAAAAATACATTTCATTTAGCTTCTAACCCAAAATCAACATTTTAAACTAAACTACAAGCAAATTATTAAATGCTAATAGATTCGGTGGAAATTGGATCAAAGTGGAAAGTATTTAAATAGAAGTAGGTAAACTCAAAAATTGTCAAGAGTATGAAATTCGGAAAGCAAACCATGTAGAGAATTTGATTTAATGCGTGCGCTAGTAAATTCATTACACTTTCACGACTACGTGGAATAAATTATAATAAAAGACGACGCACATATGCGCGAGAGAGAAATGAGCACTCAGAACCGCATGGCAAAGGGCAGAAGGTGGAAGGCATCTAAACGAATTACCCGTAAACCCCAACATAATCAAGTAAATTAATAGATGCGCCAACAGGCAACAGCCAACAGAAGAGAGTAACAAGAGCTGTGGAGCAAAACAGTTGCGGCAGCAGAGATCAAAGTAATTAATTATAATAATTAAAAACTTTTTGAAAAGCCGTGCGCCGAGTCGACAGCGAGCGAAGTTGCGAAAAGTTTTCAGTCTCTGCCACCAGGCGGGTGGATAGCTGTTGAGGCTGTGCTACCCTATAATAATACATAGAGAAAGGGGTATATACACGCTCGAGGACAATATATGAGATTCTTATATTATATTATCTACAAATTTAGCCTGAGACGGTGCGGTACAGCTGAAGAGCATGTCATATAATATATAATAAATATATGTATATGAATGGATTTATATTATCTTACACCTAAACACCTTAAACAATGTCAGTGCAGTCAGTTAGTATAACAAAACTATATGAATATAAATCAGAGATAAGTAAAACCCCAGATGATACCATAAAATACCTAATCATAATTCAAAGTCTAATATTTGAGCTCTTGAATGAAACGTAAAGAGTATATATATTTACTCTATGAACTCATCCAATCCCTATCATTTCAATACAAACCCAATGACTGTCTTATGTAGGATATTCTATAGTCGAGCCTTATATGCTATGATTGCTCATTTTCAGTTGAACTCTGGATGCTGGTAGTACTTAACCAGCTCGAGCTGGTGCCAAAGTGCGTGTACCTGTTGAGACTTGAGCAATTCCCCAAGCAAATAACATATTCATATCTTGTCGTGGTTGCTGCATCTTTTGATTTACATGCTCATCCACATGCCATCCAGCCACGCCCCGCGCCCCTGCCCCACGCCCATTAGGCAGGCCTGTCGCCATAGTTTGCCATTTGTCATTGCGGCACTACTCGTTCTTTTAATCAGCGCTAGAAGCCGCGTCAGGTAGTTCCGCTTGGTTGAGCAAGCTCTCTCGCTCGGTTGACGCGCAGCATTTACCAACACTGGCTGCATATGTGCACACGCCCACTTCGTTGCCATTGTTTGTGCCCAGTGGCGCAGGCTGTGCACTTTTTGCGAGATTAAACAGCATCCGCTCGCGAGCGGGTTGCAATCAGCTAAAGTGTCTGCCAGGCCCGAGCCCGAGCCTAAGGCAGCTGATGCAAAGCCGAGGGGGGCTGCGGCACGCCCACGTGCAAGCAATTGAATGACCTTTGAGCAAAAACAAGAAACAAAACACTGTGGCTGTGTATTACACTTTTTATTACACATCACTAGGCCACAGACCATATTTCTTAGCATAGGTGTGTGCGTATGTCTGTGTAGGGGGTGTGGGTAGGGAAGCGGGGGCGGAGGAGCGGAGATTGGCATTTAATTCGTCTTGTAGCTCGTCTGGTCGTATTTCCATTTGCCATCGCTGCCGATGGTGCCAGTGGTCTCGTGGTGCAGGTTATTTCCGTACGCATCCTTGGTATCCGTGTAGCTGATCACAACGCCTTGAGGCTTGGGTACCTTGCTCTGGCTAACTCCAGTTGGGCTGTAGCTGCCAGTATTGGTATTGCCGCCATAGAGGCCTGGGTTGTAGCTGCCAGTGTTGTAGCTGCCAGTGTTGTAGGCGCCTGTATTATAGGCGCCCTGGGTGGCTGCTGCCTGGCCAGACACTGGCCGATAGCTGCCAGTGGACGAGTCCTCACCAAAGCGTTGTCCGATGATGTCGGGCCTGAAACAAATACATACAATATGCATTGTAATATTGAAACTCTTCAATTCTATTTCGACTCTTTACGTACTGCACGATATGTTGAACGGTTCCACCGCTGATGGTGGAGCCATCGGTTTGCTGCACATGATGGGTCGAGGTGAGGAGGGTGGTGCCACCGTTCGACGAGGACGACGACGATGACGACGAAGACGACGACGACGAGAACACCTGGCGACGCAGGCGTCTCAGCAATTGGGCACTAACGGGAAACACATTCGATTTGTGACCCTCGGAGTCCAGTGTGTAGATTGCCTTGGGAATAAATTGGCCAGCGTCTGTTGAAATTTGCATAGAGCACAATGGGCATTAGATGTATTTGTTGTAATGCGCATCATTTCATAAAAAATATGTTTGTTTTTAAGAAAATGTAAGCATTCACCTTTCTTAGCTATATTAATATTATTCTAATATTATATATTATTTTTATTACATATTAATTTCATGCAAATTTGATTCATTTGATGCAATTGCGCCAGCAATAGACTTAGAAAAATTAAATAATTTTTTTAACTTTCTAAGAATTTCGTATTTGTTGCATATATAATTTATTGTTTTCTTTGGATGACAATTTCTCGATTTTTAACTTCATTAGCAGCTCAATATAAAATATACCACGTAATAAATTGTTCTATAAATATAACCTCTTTGAATACATTAAAAAATAAAATGTTGATAAAAATATAAATAATTTCTACCAATATTTTAATATTAAATTATTATTATTTTAATATAAAATTATTATAATAATAATATATAATATGACAAAAATCTTAAGTTAAAAATTAAAAATTAAAACTGTTAAGTAAATTTGCCTGTTTAATGAAATTTATAAATTTAGATTTCGCATATAGTATATACATAGTAATTAAAATAATACGATAACCAGTAATTTCTTAGTGAAACACTCCAATGAATATTGTACTAGACCTTTTATTATTATGTGTATATATGTATGAAGCTATTATGTACTATATACTACCAAAAGAGCTTAACAATATTTTCTGCAACATCAATGTTACTTTGAAATTCCATATATAAACCTGTTTGCATTATAAATATTTTTCGCCGTATTCAATGAAAATCAATGTCAACTAATTATAACAATTAAAGCTAAGCAGGATTAAGTCTTTGTTAACCGTATACAGAGCTAAAATACAGTTACTTGATAAAGCTGCTAGCAACTAAAGCTTGTATCTGATGCATAGCCTGCTCTACTACAACTAATTATAGAATTTAAGTTTAATTAGTCACAGGGCACATTTAAACTTGGCTTTAATGTACTTTTAATGGCTTAGAATGAAATGCTTAAAATACGCAGATCCCTATCAAACAGATGAACGTTTTTAAATGACTCAGACTAAGGCTGTTTAAGTATACCCAACCATTAAAACCAAGAATTAAATACTCTGCTTCGCCAACTAATTTTGAGAGAGTATTACAATAAATATCAAAACTTCATTTGCTGCCTCTATAAAACTTGGTAACGGTAATAAAGTATAAATGGTAATAAAGGTTTCGTACAGTATTAAATAATTCCCAATTCCATATCGGCTCTTCTATATAGTATCACTTATATGTATATATCATCCAGCATTGAAATTGTATTAATGTTATAATAATCTTTAAGAACTTTGAAAAACCAAATTTGATTTATCAACTTGTTTGCATTGGCAATCATCCTCCCATGGAGCCTTCAAGTTATTAGCTATAATTTTTATATGTACGCATTATAATCTATAATGAACATGACTAAGCGAAATATAATTATAATATATATAATTGTTGTTATAAAATGAACTTGAGATGGCTCTACAGCTATTCAGTTTCAATGAACCTGTTTTATTCATTATCTGCTTTTTTCGTTAGACAAAAACAGACAAAACAATGTATGGAGTGGGTTTACCTAAACATTTACTCATATTTATAAATACATATATATGCGAAGATGTTCTGCGTAGCTTGACTTTTTTTTTTATCACATTTTCGTATTAGCATACACGTCTTCAGAGGCGTTAATGACGAATAAAGTCGAGATGAAGACGATAATAGCAATCGTTGGGCCTGAGTTTGAGTTCGTTTTCTAATAGTCGAAATGCGTTGTTCATAGAGGATGATGTAATTGCGGCATGGGGCTTCCAACTTTAGCAGAGTCTATCAGAGTTCTAGGCGCTGATGACGCATCAGCTGTTTGGCTGTCATCGTACTCACCGGAAGCGGCACAGGCAACGGCGAAGAGGGCGAGGGCGATGACAGCGTACTTCATGTTGATAAACACAATCCAATTAAAGATCCAACTACAAATATTCACCAAACACACAGTCACAGATTAGTCAGCAACGGCAGAGAACGCAAAACTTACACAATACGAAAGACTTAAGCAACGAACGCGACACGATAAAACTCCAAAGCGACTAAACTGCCGATGCCGTTGCTGGCGGCTTTTATATGGAAATTTTTAGCGCTGACGTCGTGCGAATAACAAGAAGAAGAGGAAGAGGCGCTCAAATCGCAAAACCAGCCAGACAAACAAAAGCCCAGACCCAGACCCAGACCCAGACCAAGCCCAGAGACGAAGCCAAAGCTGAAGCAAAAGAACTCAAGTCATAAAATCAAAAAGTCTTATGAGTTGTTGAAAAACGGGAAGGCTTACTCCACACCAAGTGAATACATGAGCACATTATATAGGGAAGAGTCTCTCTCTTATACTAGAAATTTCCCATGTCTGCAGAGTAAATAGAGTCAAGTTGTTTTTAGATCGGCATAATTCATAGCATTTTGATGTTAATGATGAAAAACTTGCAAAACGAGATCGGGAATAGGTGTTTGTTAATTTGGAATATCTGGGGGATTTTGTCAAACTCGATTTGTTGATTTTGTTTTTTTGTTTGTATTTTTATTCATATTCACTCACTTTAACTTAATGAACCACGTGACGCTCTCTCTCTCTCTCCCTCTCTCTGTCTTTTTACATTACATCTCTCTGCCACTGAGGGCCTCTTTGTATTTTGGCCAAGTGTGGCTCTTGCCGGCTGAAGTGCTGACCTTATTTTTAAAGTATCTTTAACTTCTTTATTTCCTTTGCTGCTTCGGGCAATAACCTCTCTCTTTCTTTCTGTCTTTCTCCCTTCTCTCTCGCCTCATTCTCTCCTTTCTCCCTTTTTCTTCGTATCTTATATATATATAAGTATTTACTTCTCTTTCTTGGAAATGCAATCAAAATAATTCACATAATAAGTGTGTTCACAACAAAGTTCACATTGCTAGACTTCAAATAGGAAGCTATAGATAAATACCTAATTTGCAATTCAATATTTTGTTGACTTAAACCAGCTCAATTCGAGTTCGGCAAATTGATTAACCCGTTGACTACTAATTAGGAAATCGATTTAAGTGTTTGCGACACTAAACACCAAAATGTTAATATTATGTGAATTCATAATAATCGACTAGTGGGTATTGATTCCATTCCATTCCAGTTAAGCTGAACATTATCAAATTAGGAATATGGACTAGCGAATACCATTTATATATTTATTCAATAAATACCTAAAAGTTATTAAGGCTTAAAAATAAATTCCTAATATACGCTCTTCAAGTTGCATTTAATAACCGAATATTTAATTAGAATTAAATTAATTTTAAAACATTATAATCTCCTGCATCATTAATCAAGCAAAACGTAACCAAATTCACAATAATTAATTAAGTTATCTAAACGTCAGCATGACATGAACACACATTTAAAATATGCTGATAAAACTTGAATAAGTTAATTAATAGCAAGCTATATCAACTGATAATGGATTCGTGTATAATATTAATTTTTTAATAAATATACTTAAGGAACATTTAATATATTTTTAACTAAATATTTAAAAATTCATTACAGCTTTATTTTTATTAAAGATGTTCACTCTTAGACTATTCTCATTTAAATATTAAAATTTTTCGTGGCTATACATATTTGAATTTTTTTTTAGAAACGCAGACTGTTTTTTTTTTTTTTTTTTTTTTTTTTTTTTTTTTTTTTTTGTATTAAGTAAACAGTAATAAAATCTTAAAACCGGTTTGATATCCAGTGTGTATATAATATATAAAAATGGCATATATTAAAATTTTATTGTAAAATTATGATAATACATATGTGATAAGACACAAAATAATATATTAGGAGCAGTTGCAAAACTATAATCACTAATTTAGATCACTCTTGAAATCTTCCACAGTTATGAGAAAGTTTCATGCATTTTAATACATATTTAATAATATATTTTAATTTTGATTATTGGTAAATTATAAATAAAGTTCACCAATTTAGCCTTTGCAAAACTAGTTTAAAGTAGAGAAATAAATCTGTCATTTCATATATAATGCAAATTTAAATATGGGCATCAAAATATCTCACGTGAATAGAATTAAATCTTAAGCAATTACATCAGTTACAATGCAATGCAAATGCCTTATTGAATGACAATCGGATGAGTTATGGAATTACAAATGTAATTTTCGGCCAGACTTTGCCAATGGACTTGTGTTTTTATGCATTTTGTACACGTTTAATATAAGATTAAATAAAAAACGGCCAGCAAATGGTGACAGGACAGTTTCCATGCTTTGCTCCCAGTTCAAGTAGGGTATTCTCTTTTTTTTTCTCTTATAAAAAAGTGGGAAAAAAGCGCAAAAAACAATTTATTATTTGGCGTTAAGGACTGGCAGCACATTAATCATTTGTGTCCGAGTTGTGGACACTGGCGAAAATTTCGACAACATTTTGTTTTGTGGGCTTGGCAAAAGTTTTCGATGATCCGCAGAGAAACAGCCCTTCGGACGTCGGAGTGCTTGCAACGTGTTGAAATTACACAAAATGCTCTACAATGTGTTAAAAACTCAAACGGGCTGCTATAATAAAAACCAAAATAAAATATTTCATTCACACAGAGACAAACGGCATAAATTTCCTTTGAGAATAGATTCGTTTGCTCCGAGACAGACGCTACAAAATAACAAAAAAAAAGAAAAAAAAAAAAAGAAGCAAAAGCAAAATATATAAAACACTGGCCTCTGATGAGAGGGTGTCTGTGTGCAGTTGTGCCTGCGTTGGCTTCGAGGCAGCGAGATTTCGGCGGGGTTCCGGCTGGACCTGCGGCTCAAGGTGATTATGTTTGACAGCCGACCTGGGACAAATCCTGGACATCTACGGGACATGGGTACTAAGTGCTGAACTCAACCTTAAGCCGCAGCTCCAACTCCAGGCCGACTCACTGAAAATTGGCTTTAGTATTTGATTTATTAGCTCATCACACTCTCGCCACTATTTCAAGAAACCTCACCATAGATATTATTCTGGTACAGATATGTATATACTGGCAGTTATTGAACTCAAAATTTAAACTAATAGATATTGGATGAAAATCATATTTTAAATGATTTTTTCCAATTCACTATAAATTTAATTTTAGCTCAGTTGAAAGTAGGATCAAAGACAATTTGGAATATATTAATCATATGAATAGTCTGTCATTTAGCTATATTTTTATGTATTTAGCGCATGTATAAATAGACCACTTATTATTTCTGCACATTTTGTATCATCTTTCCTAGCTGCCATTTTGATTTTAAAAAACATTAAATATATTAATATTAAATATATAAATAATAAATAATAAGTATAAAAAAAATAAATAAATAAATAAGTAAATAAATAAATAAATAAATAAATAAATAAATAAA